TAAATAGTTTACGTTCTGATCATCCAGTCACAAAAGATGATTCCAAAAGTCATCAACTGACTCAAACTGCCCAGATTTAAACCACCTATCTGCTGAAGACAAATCCACCAATGGAGAACAAGCCTGAAGTTAACGGGCCAGTCAGAATGCTCTATCCAGTGTGCCTGCACTAACTACTGACTGATTCTGTTTCTCTGTGGCAAATCACTGTCAAATTTGTCCCAGTGCACGTGTTGAAAAACTGCTTCTAAATCCAATACTGTAACTCTTATGAAAATACTTTTTGAACTGTGAGGGTCTTAAGCACTACACAACAGTGTGTTCTTTATGTTCCCGCTATCAAAATTGTGGCCACAGGAGTGATTTAAAAGTGGGGTCTTTCCTGCTGCTGAGACAAACTCCTCACGGAAAATACAATGTATCTCAATGTATTGGTCAGTTTAGAAGGTACTCCCTAGACTCGGATCCATACAGTTAAAAAGGACTCTTTAAGACTCTCTGCAACAAAAGACTCCTGCAGGTGTGTTTCTGTTAGGCACAGTTAAAATCAGAATGAATATCGAAAGCTCATCTGCTTTAAATAACTTGTAATGTAATGTAAAAATAAATGTGTGAACATTAACTTAAGTTGAACAAACATTCTGTGGAACAAACTTTAAAACACAGCACAATGTGTTTCAAACATATTGTGTATATATATTTTTTCATAGTATTGCAGACAAAATATTTGTACAAGATGATAAATGCACTGGCTGAACTATGGTGAAAGTAAAGTTCATTAAAGTTTATGTTACATTGAAAACCTTTGTAAAAAATATAATTGTATACTTTTGAAAAAGTTTATAGTTAAATAAACCAAAATCACTAAGATTTTTGTAAAAAGAATAGCATTTATTTAGCGGCATTTCCAGGAGAAAATGACTGAAAATGCTGCATGCGAGAAAATGCTGGGAAGACTGAGCAGCAAGACAGAGACTCTAACAGAACAATGGGACAGTTTTTTTGTTTTTATGGGTCTACAACATGATGACAATGTGAGATACAGTCTGAATTAAGAATTAACTGTGTGTGCAACAGTTTGTTTGTTTGTTTGTTTATTTGTTTATTTATTCACTGAGTGTGGTTTTTGTTGTTTTGGGTTGTTATGTTTTTCTTAAATGTTCAAAATAATTAAAAAAAACTTTAATTACAAAAAAAGAATAGCATTTCCAATTTCACATATAGACACACAAACTGGTTTAACTGTCATAATTGCTGTGATGGGGTTTTTAAAAACGCAATCTGTAGCCTGTGTTGTTCTCTCAGAACGAATGAAGCAGCTGTTGAACCTTTATTTGCTATGTGGGCAGTCCTCTGGTCCACCCTCCCTTCCTCCCAGTCACAGTGAGACTGGGGCAGCTTGGCAGGATGTTGAAGTGGAAAGAGAGAGACCCAAATGCAGCCACTGGCATAGATGGGATGAATGAGCTTTATTTACACATGGGGTAAATAAAGAGACAGAGCAGAGATGGGAAGGACAGAAACTAAGGAAAAAACCTAAACTTGGAAAATCTAACAAATCTGAAATCATAACTCACAGGATGACTTCGCAGAGAAACACAGATGGACCAATAACAAGCGGAAGAAAGGAGCAATCAGGGAATGGGAGACAGGAGGAAAACACGGCTGGGGAAATCAGCTCTGATTTCCCCAGCAACTAAACACAATACACACAGGACAGGGTCTATCAAAAATAAAAACAGGAAATACAACAGGTATGCACAGACACGAGCTTGACACTAAGACATCAGATAAGGCAACAGGGAGGGAGCACAGAGACACAGAACTGAATGAGAGATGATTTGGGGCCAGAGTTACCAAATTCCGCCATTCCTGTCTCCCTCCATTACGATAACCATCTGGCACAGGCCCAGAGAGCAGATGTTGCTGCATTGCAACAGCATTTTGCAGACGTGTTCTCCCCCTGCTGGGCTGTACGAATCTCATAGAGCACCATTTTGAAACGCGGCCTGGTGTGAGTAATAGCAGAGTCACACAGCGTGTGGTGTTGCCCCATAGCCCCATAGTTCTTATAGTTCTTATAGGTAGAGAAAGATGGGTCTATACGGTTCTGTGTCAACTACCTCAAGGTCAAAAAGTTGTGACAGTTTGATGCGTATCCCATGCCCCGGGTTAACAAGCTCCTG